TTGTGCGTCCATCACACTGAGCGATGACAGCCTGTACATGCCGTGACATTGAATTATATAGATTCTGAATGTAATCCTAGGGAATGGCATTCCATATGGCTGGACGCTAAAGCTCAGTCTTAGTGCGTGCCCCACAAGCTGTACGAGCGAGTAGCCAACCGATGAAGGTCTAAACCTACTCAATAGGCGACATATCCCAGGAACAAGCAGACCATGGAAGAAGCGAAGCCTGTTGTGCCTTAAAGAAGGCTTGCGCAGTCTGATAACACGTGCACAGGCATTATCCTACTGAAATACAGCGCCCGGTATGCGTCGAAGAACGATGGAGGACTTCCTATTCCACAACTTCCCTTATGTAGTGATCACTGTTGAGGTTACCCGCAATCTGCACTAGATGGGATTGACAATTATAGCCAATAGTTCCCCACATCATGATGCCAGCCGTTCGTGCAGTACGATGCTGCATAACACACTGTGGGAGAAGACGTTTGCCTCTGTAACGCCAAGCACAGTGTTGCCGCGCCCAATGAAGTCAAAGGCGTCTGAGTTTCAGGCGACGAGCCGTGGAGCTAGACAATAGAACACCTGTAGCCGTGCTCCAACGTTGTGCTAACGCACTAGAGGACGCTGTAGATCCGTCACAGCCATGTGACCACTAAAACGGTCACCACCGACAGAGGACGATAAACAGATTTCAACGCAACTTTACAATATACATGGAAAAAAACGGCCGGTTCTCATTCCATGCATGCACAATCGCTTTGTAATTCTAATCGTTTGTATGTCTTACCTCACTTTACATTTCCTGTAAGTTTGGTTTAATTTGCATAATTCATTCATGGTGCAGCAAGTTTCACAAGCATTAGTGTATTTTTCCTTCTAGATACCTGGAAGGACAGAAGAGTCATGTTTAGAAATGTCGAGCTGTTCAAGAAAATACATCCTGCAATAAATCGTCTGAAACGTACTTAGTTTGTAAGCCTTTGATTGTAAAATTTGGCTCTCTTTAGGTTTACAATTTAAAACCTTATAAAGGTCGTTAAAGACCTTCGTTGAGATTACTTGAATTCTGTTGGGGAAAACTGTAGGGTTATTACTGTTTTTTCACTAACTAGTTATTTTACACTTTGGATCTTTACTGTCACTTATCGTTTCCGTTTCCCCACAAGAACATAAATGAGGTAGAAAGAGATAATTTTAAAGGAGGTTTTGAGAGTTTCATTCAGAGCGTATTCTGTCCCTCAAGGTCACGTTAATAGGTTTTTGCTAGCTCAGATAAAATTGTATTAATCGGCTTTGCATTATGGTTGTCGGCATTTAAATTGTTACGCCGATAAGATATTTTGAACCAACTTCGCGTTAAATCTTTTGTGTAGCCCTTGGCTACTAGACGTAAATTTAATTTGAAATTTGAATTTTCTATTTCTTTAAGTTCCATCGGCACAAGTGGTGCATTAACATACAAAGTTCTGATTTAATAAAAAGGTTTCTAACTTCTCAAGTCACTTTCGTTTCATTAAGATTCAGCGATAATTGGCTACCAGTCTGTTAGAGTTTGGATTTAGTTAATGGTACCTACAGAAGTCAAACTTTATAGTATAATCAGGTGAATGTTAATTCCCCCCCCTTGTACAAATAAACTGTACAAATAAACTGTACAAATTTTTCCAAATGTGTGCTTTTTATATGTACCTTTGTTTCCCATTGCCTTCTGAACCAATAATGCCCATCCCCAGGTTTCCTTAGCAACCATAAGTGGATGATAACGATGAAACCGATATGCGGGAAGGTTATCATCATTATCATCCACATATGATTGCTCCACTTATTGTACGAACAGCGGGAAGTTATTCGTTAGACTGTTTAAACTGTATAAAAACAGCTGTAACGCTAGACACCAACTATCATATTTTATACGCATAAAGTTAAATGTTAACATTAATGGTGAGACAAAAAAAAACTGCTATTCGTGACACATGGACTAAGGCATAAGTGATTTTAGTAAGGAATTTTCTGAAGGAGATGGGGTTCTAGTTAGACTTTAAAAGGTGTAAAACTTGCCTGAATATGATTCAAACGGTTATGAAAGATTTACCCCCACCGAGAATTTAACTTGAATGAAAATAATAAATGTCCCAAATATATTTATGCAGAATTTAGTGATGAAAATTTCAGGCTGATCACTCAAGCAACTAATGTGACAGATGCACATTACAACCAGTCTGCTCGTACAAAACTGTGAAAAGTTTTTACGACAGAAAATACAATAACGGATTCAATATATGCTGAAAATTAAAATAATTCCTGTCAAATGTCTGCATACAAATCATATATTGCTAAGTAAGAAAAAAAATCTAATTTCGATAACTGATTGTGAAACTTGGTGATTTGTAGGATATTACAGAACCTAAATAGGATTGAGCATACCAGCGTACCAGCTCCTCATAATGGAGAAATAATTCCAAATACAAAGTGGTTAAATGTACGATTATTTAAGACTTTTAGTATTCTAAAATTTGCAAATAATATTAAAGCATGTGCATGCACAGACGTTTATCACACAAAAAAGAGCTTTTATCAATCAGTTCTCTAGAGTAAATACATTTGCTGCAATTTGCTACGCCAGTATCGCGAGGTACTTGAAAGCAATGCATAAAAATCCCATCATCATGGGGAAATCTGTCTTTAATTTCCTTGAAGACAATAATCGAATGAATGTCTTGACCAATGTGTACAAGATCTTCACGAGTTTTTCTCGTTTTCGAAAGACACTGGTTTACTGGTTAATATAAAAAAAACACAAAGTTTAGATGCAAGGAAGAGAGCTATTTAGTATAATACATATACTCTAAACATTACACTTCTTTATTTTTAGATTAACAAACTGCAGACAGGTACTTAAAAAAATTTAATTTGAAGAACTTTTCACTTCGAAAGACAGCGAGAAAAATAACCTTTTGTTAAGGCTTGCGGAAATCGCAGAGCTTTTAACATAGTTAACACGAAAGCAAAGCTGATTTAAGTAGCATAAAGAAACGGAACATTTGCTTGAAAAATTAAAGGAAGAATTAATTCCGGGACTGAAAAAAAGATTCGGAAATTTAAGCAGACTTTTCAGTTTTCTCAACAGAGTTAATTCTAATACATAATAATAAGACATTGGTAAGATAAAAGAATCCATTGCTTTTTAGTCTCTCATTTTTATTTCACTTGAGCGTAAATACGTTAAAACAGACAAAGATAGCTTGAAAATGCCTGCGTCAATACAAACATTACAGCTTTCTATAAACACTCAGGGTTTCTAAAGATCATGTAGCGATAATTCAACTACATTCCTATAAAAGATTATTGCTATCATGTTGGCACTAAAATGGCAACAACACAATTTTAAATTTTCAACCCCGACTGAGCAAGGATAATGACATAAGGAATGTAATGTATCTTGCCAGAGATAAATTACATTAATAGAGAAATCAAATAAATTTTAGTGAATTGACGTTTGTAATTTTAGATCCCAGGTAAACATTAATTTAGGAATTAAAAAACACTTCAAAATTTCATACAGTTTTTAAACAGTAGTGAAGCCTAAGGATATTATTGATGCTGCCATTAAAAGAAAATTTTTGAACAATAATCCCAGACATTACATGTATAAAATATTAAAAGGTATTAATTACAGGATTTCTAAATAATAAATTTCATAATATAAAGTCACTTCTCAAAGTATCATCAAATGTATCTGCATTAAAGCAAAGTCATTTTATGTTTTATGAGATTATGCATTTTTCATAACCGCAAATTACAAACCTTTTTTTTTTCTTAAAATCGTTTTGAATTTTAAAAGTAATTTTTTGTAATTTATTGCTCCCATTTAAGAAATTTTATTCTTCATTCTTAACCTGTCATTTCTGTAATTAAATTTTAGAATTCTCTCACGACGTTTACTATTTACAGCATTTTCATTTTTCAATTTTATAGGCTACAAATACACAATTCATTTCAATTTTTACATTTTTATTATTTCCGTTTAATCAAAATTCTTTCTTACCACTCAACTTGACACTTCAAAACTTCATTCTCAAAAGTCTCGAGAAAAACAATTTTTTTTTACGGTTTCTTCGCTTTTTCCTCAGTTTGAAAACTTTTATACATAAATTAACATTAAACCCTATTTATTTTATTTCAAGTAAATTTCCTTCTAAAATAAATTATTTTTCTCAAAATTCTCACTTTAAAATGCATTTACTTTTGATTTGTAACAGTTGCTCTTGATCTGCAACCTTTATTAGTAATTTTGCATTTTCTTTAGTTCAAAATTTATTTAAATATTTACTTTACTGCTTTCTCCACGAAATTGTTTCTCTGGTTCTTTATTGCTTATTTCTCTTATTTTATTTTATACTGGTTAGTTTATAGTATTTTTTGTTTTAGGGTCACGTCGGAGCAGATTATACTTTGATGATTAATTGAAATAAAAAATTATTTTATACTTTATTACACTTTCAAAAACCTTTAATTAACAATTTTGATTTAATTAATCTAATTTTTTATTGATTAAATTTTATCTGGCATTTTCTTTTGCATTTTTAAAATTATTTCAAGAATTTATAATCATCCAGATATAATTCAGAGACATGACTCTTGAAAATTCTTCGGTTGCTCCTTCAAAAGGCCAAAAATTTTCAATAGTTTGTTATATCAGTTTAAATATGTTATTTTATTAAGTTGTTTTTTTGTTTCAGTTTTGATGTATGTACTTGCCCCTTTATTGTTTTAATTATTAACGCTCGGCTATTTAATTAATTTAGCAGCATACAGCACGATGTTATTAATTTTTAATCTTCATTTGAAATTTCTAAACTTTTGTTTATATATATATATTCGCACGTTCCTTCAATAAACTTCTTACAGCAACAGTAACGCAAAACTGCCTGCAAAAGACTGAATTTTCATGAAAAGATTCTTAAAATTTTGGAAATTTATTTATAAAATTTACTTACCTTCAGCATTAAAACCATTGCTTCGATAGGATTCAAAGCAAACAAGTGGTGTTCTCGGATATCCAAGAAATACAATGTGAAGAGCTAGGAAGAATGATGTCAAAAAGGCAAGAAGGCAAATACTATACAACCGTCCTTTCGAAAGGTGACAACTGCGCTTTAGTTGCGGGTCCTTGTTAATAATTCCCCAAGTGTGAACTGCAAGACAGTAAGGTGGACAAGGCACCTCTCTTTTTGAGGTCATGCTTTGCTTTACCCACCTGCAAAGAAACATAGAATTTGTTAATCGAAAAACGTTTTTGTGCTGTCGCAAACAAAACGCTTTATATACTTATATATAAAAACATAATTAGAGTTTATTTAAATTTTAAACGCTCAAATAGGATCAATGACTAATTATTGTCAAGGTCTCTCTAACCGATTTTAATTGCTTGCTTCTAAGGTTTGTTTCTATTCTACATGTTTAATGTTTGACAGAAACAATTTATATGACAGGAAATCAGATCACCAACTTTTCAGGGTACTTATTGGAAACATAAATGCGCATAGGGTCATTCAATTTTTGAATACTGTTATCTAAAACTGGATGAGATGCAACATGCACTCTGCATAACAGCAAATTTCGTAATATAATTATTGTTTCAAGTACTTGAGAGATATAGAGCAGCAAATCTTACCTTCCTCCTGATTTAGAAACAATACTTCAAATAATACATCCAAGAAATCCTCAATTAAAATTTAGCGTACTATATTCTTATTATTTGAAGTTTCATAGTGTCACTTTTAGAACACGGCATGCGACATGGGCTACATTGCATTACGTAAGGCTGCAAGGGAATGTTCCCGTACTTCTTTTAGAATGACAACACTCGTTATGCTTATATAAGTATAATGAGAGCTGTCATGCTCAAACGAATACAAGAACTGCAGAGAAAAATCCTAATGCCTAAATGCAATTTGATTCACATTCTTAAGAACAATAGTAATAAAAACAAGAATTCACACTGCATTCCCTTATTTCAAACACGTGTATTTCATTTGCAGCTTGAGTGCGCAAAAAATGTCTTTCCAATTTAGTATCCCTTTAAGAAATCTTAATTAGCATTTGTCAATCGAAACACTTCTCAAAGAGATTATTAAAGAATGAAAAATTATTTAATCACGTTTGCGCAAAACTCTGCAACACTGCGAAAAGAAATTGGATTTTTATTTCACCATAAAAAAATTTGCGTCTTTATAGAGAGCATGATGGCTAAGTATGAAGTTGCATATGAAATTTCATGACGAAAATCTAAGATCTTCTGCAAAATAGTTTAGTTTCCGAAATATTTCGTTGCATCTTTAAATATATACAATTTAAGTAATATTGTTCAATACATATGTTTCTTGACTGTTTTCTTCTACTGAAATGTATTTCTTAAAGCAATTGTGAAAATGCAGTAAATTTATTTCAGCACGGCACATAAAACATTATTATAGAGAGTTTAAAGCTACAAAAAAATTAAATAAATACTACTCTAAAATTTCGCAATATTTAGTTGAAGAAAGAGAATGCATTTTCCTATTAAATTAATATTGAAATAGTTAACGTACTAGTGTTTTTCAAGCAGAAAATATGCAAACGTTTTCTCTCCTACCATTTTGTGTTTCTCTTTCATTTCGGTTACCTTAGTTAAAATGGTAAATCTAATAATAAATACCATAAATCTAATCATAAAATTTCTTATAATATATGCAGTCAAAGTATAAAATATCATGTACAAAAAATGTGCAACATTTGGAAAAATCTCTAAAAATTGCTCAAATGGTAGCTCATCATCTTGATTTACCCTCTTTAGTTTCTGAAACCTTCAGGTTCATGTAATTTTCTGATGAAATATTCCGAATTATTACACAATACTGCTATCAATATCTGTACTATGCAACAATAATCCAAATCATCTCACAGTGTTTCTTTTATCTCTATAGAAGAAATTTTAGTGTTACCAACTGCACTTTTGTTTAGGAACAATGTTTCAACACTTTCATTATCACTGATGCATTCCTATTGAATGGTATTACTAAGGCTTTATAAAATACTTCTTAGTATTCAAGTCAAATTAAAGGTTTTTCGTAATTAATCATTCTCATTTGAGTCAAAGATAACCTAGTAATACGGAAAGCTAATATAAGCGCTTGAATAAATGCTTTTAGAATTACAGAAGTACTTAACTATGATAATTATGTACATTCTTGTTAACATGTACGGAAGCTGCGCGTTATGAAATATCTAGTTTTGAAACGAAACAGAGATATTTATACTCAAGAAGTTACATCGAGTTTCTCTGATCTTCTTCTTCAGAGTTTAATGAATAAACACAAGTCTAATCCCGCATCTGTCACCCACACGTGCTAACGATTGATTCCATATGTAGGTTTTGGCATTTTCAATTTATCGAGCGATTTATGTATTATTCTCTGAGCACAGTAAGCAATTCGAAAATGATTGTCTATCGAAGCTCTTCTAATGTCTCTGAAACTGACTGAAATGTGATCGACGATAATATACTATCCTTAATAAAAATTTGTTATGCATACTTTTCTTATATGTTTTAGTTTCTTGTAATTTCTTTGTCTTTTGAGCTTCTGGTTTCAAAATTCCTAAAGATGGACGTTTCTTTGTATAACTAGAAATCTTTTTAATAATTATATGTACTATTAAAATTACATTATTTCTGCCTCTTTTTAAAGCAAAATTCAAAGGTAAAAACTGTTAATTACCTAAATTAAACAACTAATATTTCAAATCTCATGTGAGACTTTATAATCATAGGCTTAAACGTTTGTATACATTTCAGCTTCCTTTCCTATGCACTGATACCGATTCCTTACTCCTCTGACATTTACTCAATAATTATATTTAAAGAACACGGCAGCTATATCAATAAAGCTCAAAGTAAAGAAACCAAAAGATACGATCTTCCTTTTTTACGAGAAAACAAGAAAGCGCCTCGGACATTGAAAGCAAGCGAATGCAAATATCGATTGGCGCCTGGGAGATTGGCCAGATGCTCCTTCTTGATGCTCTTCGGAATAGCTCCAGAAATACTGTAGGAACTCTCGAACCTTCCAACATTGAAAGTAATGATTGGAACTGCCAATGCGTTTGGAAAATGAAAATTTTGAGACGCATGGAGAGTTGCGTTTCACAGCAAGGATGGAGGATTTAGTTTGCACGTCTCACTGAAGGGAAATGGTTTCTGCCTAGAGACATTTCTTTCCCAGCTTAAGCTAGGGAGCTCGAGAAAATGAGTCTTCGTTCTTTTTACTCAGTCATGCAAAGTTTAGTTAGTAATTTTAATATATATACTAAGGACAGTAATTTTGAGACAGATATGTTCGAACGCTCTCTCAAGGAAATAGTCAGGAAAAGTCAAAATAAATCTTATTTCGCTAATTATTAATTGACATTTTCACGAAAAATATCCCATCTTCTTGTTTAAAATGTTTTCAGAAGACATACCTACTCTCATATAAATTTTTTAACAGTAAACCTCGTGTCTATGCATGTACATAAAACGGGAATATATATATACATATTATATACATATATATACTACACACATAGATATTATATAGATAATATATATACTACACACATATATATATATATATATATTTATAATAAATACATAAAGAAACTTAATAAAGGAAAAAACAAATTCTTTAACCTCCTGCGATATAGCTGAAGGATTGAAGTAAAATAAACTTAAACATCTAAAGTAAAAGTAAATGAAAGTAAATTGAGTCAAAGCAAGGCATTCCTCAGCAAAATGCTGAGGATTGCCTTGTTTGACTCCAATTTACTTTATATTATATACATATTTATACTACATACATACACACACACACACACACACATATATATATATATGTGCATATGTGCAATATAAATAAAAATACATATATATGTGCAAAGTTGTATATACATATATATATATATGTAATTTAGTCTTGGGGCACAGTGATGTATATTTTCGAGTATTATTATTATTAATGTGAAGTCTGTATTTGGAGTATTCCAGGGAGTTTATCTCAAAACTTATTTTAAATTAACAAAGGAGATAAAACTTCCCATCAGATATAACATTAAGACATGTTTCAGGTTTGGCAACCTAACACCTAAATCATCTTCAAGATACAAAACTCTGTTTCTCTATTTATATTAAACAATTTAGATTTCAAACAAATACTGACTAGAGATGTTCAGAAAATTTAATAATTTGCATATTTCAAAAGGTTTACCTCAATAACATTTTATATGCTATTCCCGCTATAACAAGATAAGAAATTACTCGTACTATATATAAAACGGAGAGAGAAAGGAAGTATTTTATTACCGAAACTTCTAATGTTTTTATGTAGTCTTTTATCAGTTTGTTTAGACATATATTTTAATTTTTAATACGCTAATATTGTTTTACTCGATTTATCTTCAAGTCGAAAAAGTAGGATGAGAAAAAGCAGAATGACAGGACTGAACATACAGATGATAAATGGATACATGACTTAAGTACAGGAAAAGTACTAGAGGGGTTTTGAGGTTATATTAAGTATCTTGTAGCCATCCTTCTCGTATTCAAACTCTCAGTTTGCCTGAGTGAAATGGTTTTAACCGCCTTATAATATGTTTCCTAAGGCTAGAAAAGTGAAACAAGAGTTGGCAAACAAATCTCTATTTTAAATTCTAAATCGTAGTCATATCTTCATATAAACACAACGTTAAACCATCTCAAAATTCCAAGTGTCTTGTGGATTTCATGATGGAAAGGTAAGCAGAAAGATTTTCTTATTAAATATTGTTAAATGTTGAAGGTAAAAATAAAAAGATGCAAATTAGAAACACAGACAATAATTCAAGTAGAAAGAAACTTAGAAAAGAAATGATAGAAAGAAAGAAAGAAATAGAATAGAAAGAAAATAAATGGAAAGAAACAATAGAAAGAAACTTCTCGTCATCACCAGAGCTAGGGCTAAAATTCTTTAAGCTAACTTAAACTCAAAATAATAATAATAATAATCTTTATACGATAAATAATATGAGAGAAGTGTGTGTCATTTTTTGACATACATTCTTGTCATATTATTTCAGAATGCTGTACACGTTTACAATGCAGTAGAATAAAATATTCCGATATTAAACAGAGAGAAATAATATTGTGTATCGGAAAATGCATGGTGACAAGAGAAGGGCAGATCATCATTCGGCTGAGACATAGAA